TAATAATAATAATAATAATAATAATAATCTTATTCTTTTTTAATATAAGCAGGCCATGTTCAAAATATCACCATCTATTTCCCAATCAATGACACATTTCTTGCATTGCATCCTTCGGACTTCACAATACCTGATTAAGAGAGCTGCTGATGCCTTCTCTTTTCACCTCAGCTTATACCTTAGCGACACCTGGCTTTTCTTTTCAATGCTTTTAACCTGCAATCGACCAGCATTCTGTAGCTTTTCAACTTTAAGAGGAAAAAAGAAACCTTCTTTGTTCTAATTAATAAATACAGTGTTGGGTGGAGTTATTTTTTAAATATTTTTTTGTTTAAAAATATATATTTTTTATTAGGAGTTTTGTTATTGCATAGTGGACTGTATAAAGAGGGATGAGTTAATTGGATATTTTTTTTTTATTGTGATAATGATTTTTTTAAAAAAATATTTAGAAATATATTAAAATAATATTTTTTTTATTTTTTAAAATTTATTTTTATTATTAACACAATAAAAAATAATTAAAAAAACTAAAATTTTCATTGAAGGTGTTTTAACTAATACTAAACAAGCTGTTAATCAGAAATTTAGAAAGCGAAAAAATCAAGGATTTGATAAACCCATGCACTAAGTTTTTATTACAATGCCATTGACTTGCATTCACCGGCTGTAACTTGAAAGTTTTTTTAATATTAAAAAGAATTTGCCGGGCATCATTAAACAGCTGCGAAGGTAAAAAAGAGAAGGCATTAGCGGAGCAGTCCCCATTGATTAACATATGTAATGAGCCAAGATAGTCCAAGCAATTTTAGCAGCACCGTGTCTATGCTTCATTAGATTAGATAACCCTATTGTGAATTTGCCGATTAGCTTTTAATCTGAGATGGCGAATGCTTTGTTCTCTTTCGTTCCATTCGACTTCAATGGAATACAGAGTGGTTATAGTCATAATGAAGATTCTGAGAAAGAGGAATTGGTGATCAAAGGAAAGCAAGACCGAAAGTTTTCCATGGAAAACTTGGGGCAGGTTTATCCTATATGTTCTGAATATGGTGCTTATCAAGATAACACAGAGAACAAGGAGCTCAATTTCTTTAGAGATCAGCACCAGCAGCAGCCACAACAACAACAATCGCCACCCAAGTCAAATTATTTGGCATCGGATGACTTGCTTGGTTATTGTTTCCCAGCACCAGCGCAGCCAACGCAGGAAATCAGAAAGCTTGAGAACATTGTCGAACATAGTAAAGAGATGCAATATACGCCTCCTCTATCATCATATCTAAAACTCCTTCACAATTATGGAAGTGGGATCAAGAAGTTGAATGCGAACCAGCCCGGCAGTGCTAGCAATGAAACTTGCTTCGGGAGTCGAAAGAAACTGTCAACTGAGGAGATCATAAGGGTAGCTGGATCAAGTTTCATACAATTCTCAGATCAAAGATATGATGATTTCTTCATGCTCATGCACCCTTTTGGTTATGCACTCTCAGGCCTATCCGAGGAAGAAAAAAGGGATGTTGAACTCACTCACCTTCTGCTAGCAGCAGCAGAGAAGGTAGGCTACCGACAATTTGATCGTGCAAGCAGATTGCTAAGCCGTGGTGAGCGGGTTGCATCTGAGAGATCCAATCCACTTCAGAGGGTTGTGTACCACTTCGCAGAAGCTCTTCGAAGGAGGATTGACAAGGCAACGGGAAGATTCCCTCCAACAGAAATGAAGGGAAAACCAAAATGTTTAACTCTTCATGGTTTAGGTACACATCTAGCTCACCTTAGCGTCCACCAGAAAGTTCCTATTAATCAGGTAATGCAACTCACAGCGATCCAAGCAATAATTGAAAATGTTGGATCAGCAAGAAAGATCCATTTGATTGACCTCGAAATCAGGAGTGGAGTTCAATGGACAGCCTTGATGCAAGCTCTTGCGGATCGTCAACGCCGGCTAGACCATCTTAAGATAACTGCCGTTGGCTTGAGAGGCATACAAAAGATAGAGGAGACTGGTAAGAGCTTAGAAACCTTTGCTAAGTCCATGAACCTCCCATTCACGTTCAAACCAATTCAGGTATCTAGCATGTCTGAAATCAAGGAGGAACTATTTGAAACAGCAGCTGATGAAACCGTGGTTGTTGTCTCTAACATGATACTCAGGACAATGCTCTCAAGGCCAGCTTGCTTGGAAAATTTGATGGAAGTGATTAAAAATCTTAATCCTTCATTAATGATCGTCGGGGAAGTTGAAGCAAATCACAATTCACCAAATTTTGTGAACCGTTTCATTGAAGCACTGTTCTTTTATGGTGCATATTTCGATTGTATTGAGACCTGCCTGGAACAGAACACTGAGCACACAACGATAGCTGAAGCAATCTTCTCTGACGGGATAGAAAATATGGTGGCTATGGAAGGCACCGACAGGATTGCTAGAAATGTGAAAATAGATGTATGGAGGGCATTCTTTTCAAGATTTAGAATGGTGGAAGTAGGATTTAGTGAGACGTCCCTATACCAAGCTAGCTTGATTCCAAAGCAATTTCCTTATGGCGATTCATGCACTCTTGAAAAGAATGGTAAGTGCCTAATTGTTGGGTGGGAAGGAACACCATTGCATTCCCTTTCAGCTTGGAAGTTTTCCAGAGAGAGACTACGGAGGTCCTTGTAAATTGTAAATTCTGAAACTGCTTGTAGTGGCTGCTTGCACTCTTAGATTGATGGTTATATATTTCAATTGTATTATTGAACTGAATAAAATGGTTTTCTATTTCTTAGATGGAAATTATTGTAAGATTTACTTACAAGGTTTGTCTTTGCCCACATATGTAAGGAACGTGTTGCGTCTGTTTAGAATCACTTACATCAGGCAAGATTGCTCTGGGGTTATTGACAGAGAGATAGAAAACCAAAACGGGAGTCTACTATTGATCAGCTGCAAATCCCTGGTTTTCATATAATACAATCCTTTAGCTCAAGGGCTATAATTTGGCTTGTCCAAAAGTTCTTAGGAGGTCTGTTCCTTTTAGCCAAAAAAAAAAAAGTAATTATATTTTAAAATAAATTATTTTATTATACTTCAGAAAATTAAATTTATTTTAAATTTGAAGTAGTTTCTTACAGAGAGTATCAAAATGTCTTGAAAACTCAAAGGTGATATACAAGAATCATTTGATAAAAAATTTACTCCATTAGATGTTGGTTTTAGGTGATAAGCAATAGATATATACCTATTATATTTGTAATTAAAGTTATGAGATCATAATAACTTTATAAAAAATAAATTAAAATAATTCATGAAGATTAATTTTTAATCAATTCAATATTAATAGATAAAATTAAAAAATATATATATTATTAATGATAAAGAAAAGTACCTGGATTAACTCAAATTAATCCGTTAAGTCTGTGATTTGGATCAAAAAATAAATAAATAAACATAAAATTCAATCTCCAACCAGTTCAATGTTAAAGCATGAAATTAAAAAATTAAAAATATATATATATATAAAAAGTAATTCAAATAAATCTAGACAAATTTATTAAACTAGTGACCTGAATCATACAAATAGAGTAACTTTATAAAAAAAATTAAAAAATTTATGAAGCTTTATTTCCAATGAATCAAATATTGAAGATTGAAATTGAGAAAAAAATTAAATTTATGAGGTCGAGATAACTCTATAAAAAATAAATTAAAAAAATAAAACTCAATTCTTAAATAATATAATATTGAAAGATAAAATTATAAAATAAATAAATAAAAGATTGAGTTATTGGAGGTGAAATTAAAAAATAATCCATGAAAATGAATAGAATAAATCTAGGTTTACATATCAAACTCGTGATTCAAATAATGTAATTAAGGTAACACCAATAAAAAAATTTAATTAAAAAAATAAATAAAATTAATCCCAAACAACATATCAAATATGCAATTCAAATCATTAGTTTACAATAACCTAACCCAAAATTATTACTAATTATTACTAAGTATAGCTTTTATCATCTTTTCAAAAAAATCAAAGGAATTAAAATGTCCTCAATCAAAAACCAATTTAATGATTTTAATTACTTGCCTTCTAAGTCTAAAGCTAAATTTACGATAAACAAAGGAATCAAAATGTCTTTAACCAAGACACCAATTTAATGCTTTTAATTGCTCTCTTAAGTCAAAATATAAATAAGTAGGAGCTAAACATAGAGGAGAAAAAAAAAGGAAAAAATCTTTTATCATAAGCTAAATTGAACAAACGTGCTGAACTTTGAATAAAAAATCTATGCTAATGGTCCTTGTATTAATTATTTGATCTAATTTAATCCATCGTTAATGAAAATTTCAATCTGTAAAGGAATTGGCGTGTGAAAATCACATGACCTCGTAAAAAAACACCTTAACATATAATTTTAATTTTTTACCAAAAAAATGACAAGGTGATTTGAACGGAAACCTAATTCTCACTGATGTACAAGAATTGTTGGCATAAAATATTTAGTTCATTAATGATGCTTTGATTAATAGTTCAAAGGATTCCTATACAATTTAGCTTTTATTATTATTATTATTAAATGAAAAACAGAATAGTAGGGAATTAACTCCAAATGATAGGTCTCGTGATTAATCTATGAGAGTTTAAAATTTTATTTTTTAAAAAATTAATTTTTTTAATATTTTAAAATTATTTTAATATGCTAATATTAAAAATAAATTTTAAAATATAAAAAAATATTTTTTTAATAAAAAATAACCGCAATATCATGAAGAACCAACCTTTAAAAATTTAATTCAACCTTTTCAGTTTGAACTTTGGATTAAATATTAAACTGGATTTATTCTCCTAATTCCTAAATACACTCAATTAAAAATTAAAAAATATATATCTTAAACTTACCCAGGCAAAATGTGGAGGTACTCCTTCCTCCTCGCCAAACGAACTTAGCCCTTGGGGATTTCGACGACGCATGACATCTCATCAATGGGCAGGATTCAATTATTAAATGCAAGCTAAGCCACGTCATACCACGTAACACGTGTCGATCTCGTATGTGACCTTTCTTTTTTACTTTTTCCACTCTCTCTGCCACTTACTTTCTCGGTGGAGAGTTGCAGAGCAGCGATGGTGTCAAAATCAAGCGACTCTGCTTCTAAATTCAGAGTCAGTTTCCTCACTATATTCATTTCTCTGATATCTGTAAGACTGTTTTCAGGTTTCGTTTTCGTGATCCTTGTCTGATAAGGTCATTTATTGATTGACCAGAATTAACATAATTAGGATGATCCACACTTTCATATAGAAAAATAATGAGAATTAGCTGAAGCTCTCAATCTTATCAGTTTTTATTTTTGGTGCATCTGATAATCTCCTAATATTTTTTAATCTATTGAATGTGTGCCCTGTCCGGCTGCTGATAATGATATATACAAAATCCATTAATTACAGTTGTGATTCTATTATATAATTGCTTGCTTTTATGCTCTGATTTTTTCTTCCTTAATATATATTCAGTTACAACTTTTTTTGGTTCTTGATTATTATTTTTACAAATTGCTGATATGTGTGGGCAGAAATCAGATGGAGAACCGTCAAATAACGGTATTAGAAACCTGACATACAAGATGAATCAGCTTAAAAGACAAATTCAAGCGGAAAGGGTTGTTTCGATAAAGGTAAGTCGGTGAAGTTTTATCATATTCAAGAGTTTATGACTAGGTCGATAATCATATACTGCAAAGCAATTCATGTTTGATTTTTGTACAGGATAAAGTTGAGAGAAACAGAAGGAAACTTGTAGCTGATGTTTCTCAGCTAAGATTAGCAACTTCAAGAACGTTTATGGGGCAGAATGGAGTTTCTAAAATGATTTCTTTGAGGATCGGAGCTCCTCTTTGTAAGTATGGTGGATTCGCTCAAGAATCGGGTGATAGAGATCTTATCAATGGTCATGAAGTAGCAGTCTCAACAAGTACCAAGCTTCCGTTTGTAGAGAAGATACCTCCGTATACTACCTGGATATTTTTGGACAAGTATGTCAGATAGTACATGCTCAATTTTAACATATTTTACCCAGTGATGAATAAATAAGCAAACAAACAATATGTCAGTTGAATTTAACTGTTGAGTGTTCTTGTTTGGTTTCAATTCCTCTCTTTTTCTAACTTGGAGAAAATGCAAAGCATTTAATGTTTATGTTGGCTCTCTCATTTAGTTGTACATATGAAGATTTTATTTTTTCTGTTATATCTCAAGTATGCAATTATGCAGCACAGGAATCAGAGGATGGCTGAAGACCAGTCAGTGGTTGGCAGGAGACGCATATACTATGATCAACATGGCAGTGAAGCTCTGATTTGTAGTGACAGCGAAGAAGACATAGAACCAGTGGAAGAGAAACATGAATTTTCTGAGGGTGAAGATCGCTTTTTGTGGTAATCAGATTGATTTGATTTTGGTACATATATTTTGAATGCAATATCTGCCATTTAAAATTCAGGATAGCATGATTACATTCTTAATAATGAACTGTGCTGCTCTCTTTCCATTTTTTTCACTAAACTAGCAACCTATGCAAAACCTATGCTGTTGAACAAAATCAAATTAACTTTCACACTAGAGAATATGTCAAGAACTAAAATTAAGACCCAAATAAAAAATAAGGCAAATCAGTTTGAAAGCTGTAAAACTCTTGTAGATTTGATTCTTATTGTCGCTCTTAGTGTTCTAGGCTGTGGTAATAGTAGTTCTTCATATTCTAGAGTGCCTGTATCATCAACCTTGTTGCTTTTAGTGCTTAAACCAGAGGAAGAAATACATAAAATATGCTATCTGTCTGATCTTGATGACACCACCAATTGTAATCAATTAACAATTACTTATCACCAGTCGAAGTACTTCACAATGTATCTGTCAAATTTGGCAGGATGGTCTTTCAGGAACTTGGAGTAGCTGAGGAGGTACTGAATATTGTTAGCCAGTTTATTGGAGTTGGCACTTCAGAAATCCAGGTAGTATTAAAGAATTTATATCAACAACTTTGTGTTTCGAACTGCTTCCAGCATTCCTTGCTTCCATTACTTTGAGGTTATTGAGAACAGTTTCCTGTGGCTTACTGAGTTTGATATTGTAGGAGCGTTGTAGGATGCTCGTGGAAAAATATAGCAATGACCAAAATGTCAAAGATTCTATTGATTCAGTATCTGAGAGGGGCATATCTCTGGAAAAAAGCCTTGGTGCTGCTTTAGATTCTTTTGATAACCTATTCTGTCGCCGTTGCTTGGTACTCATTTCTGGCCTTAATCATGAGGTGAATTTTACTGAAATGATTCTTGAATTACATCAACCTTGATGTTTTTCATCTTGCATCTATTGAACAGCTATTTGACTGCCGCCTCCATGGCTGTTCCCAAACTTTGATCAATCCTGTGAGTAGAAACCTCCATTATATATGCGCTGTGTGTGTGTAATACACACACACACACACACTAGGTTCTTTTATATCTAATAAGAGGCTTTGCTTGGCAGAGTGAAAAGCCGTCATGCTGGTCTGAATATGAAGATGATAGGAAACCTTGCAGTGATCAATGTAGCCTTCAGGTGTTTTTTTTATCTGAGCTTTTTGGTTGAAAAATATCTCTTGAACATTTTAAACTTTCTGCAAAAATACTGTGATGCTTTTCTGGTCAACAAGATCTGTGTTTAACTGATTGGAGCTTTAAATGTTAAAAACTGTTCGCCAGATGAAGTCTTATACGTGTCAAAAATTATTATAACTGCAGATAAGAGGGAATAGGAATAGGAATAGGAGAGGTCAACTTTCTGTGGTATATGATTCTATGCTCTCTTTTTCCTTTTCTTTTAATCTTTTTTCATGATTACTGAAGCATGAGACTGCTATTTGATATGGAGCTGGTAATAGTGCTCTCTGTACTGCTCATGTAAAGAAGCCCCTCAAAGTTACTCTTTTGTTCCAAATTAACTTGTTTGTTGTGTCTGTGCTGCTCCTGCAGGAAAGATGTACCATTTTCTGTTTTAAGTACTTATTATTCTTTATAGATTATTTGTGCCATTGTGTCTGTATGCACACTCTCTTATTTACTACTGTCATTGAAAATTTCATTCACTCCCCAGGGACTTGGCTGATCATGTGGTTACCAATGACTTCTAATATATCTTTTCTGCTGCGTGTGCTGTTATAGTTTTTCATCTGGAGTTCTTGCTTTCTGCTTGGAAAATTGTGAGTCTGACATTAACATAAATGCCTTTCAGCTAAGAGTTCTCAAAGACTTGCCTGAAGGTTCTGTTAATAGTCCCTTGCATAGGACAGAAACTGCAACTTCAGCTGAGGAAAAAAAGACTGCAGCAGCCTCAGATGCTGAAGAGCCAAGCAGTGTAGACCTCATGATAGATGAAAGATGTATTTCAGAGAAAGAAATAACTGTTATTTCAGAAGCTGCTGGTAACTTGGAACCTGCTTCTGGAGCTCTGAATTTGGATATTTCTGCTATGGTGATACATAACCAAGAATACATGCGAAAGCGCAAAGTGTCACAATGTACAGATATAGCATCAGATGACTCATCGAAGTTTCCTGATGATACACAGGATTTTAGTAAGAAACAGAAAAGATTATTGCATTTGGATGTTGCTGCTGAAGATATATCAAGTCCTGGTTGCGGATCAACTGCTAAAAAAGCAACTGATCAAATTGAATTTCAGATGACCACAAAAAAGACTACCAATGTTTCCTTTGAAATAGCTTCTTCTGGCACTGAGGAGAGCATTGGGGATGGATCAAATAATGTCTTTGAAGTGCCCGAACCAAAATGGTCATCCTCAGTAGAAAGTCAAGTGGAAGGGGTTTTAAAAAAGTCTGAGTGGAAGCCTATTGAAAAAGAACTATATCTGAAGGGAGTGGAGATATTCGGGAAAAACAGGTATGGGGTTGCCTATATAAATAACATTTCATGCATGCATGCAGGTAACAATACTATGTGTCTTGAGATACCTTTCTCATTGGTAGGTGTCAAATGACTGAAAATTGTTTAATAGGAAAGAGTAATCCATGTTCAGTTATTAGGAACCTGGATGCACCCTATAATATGATTATGTTAGTTCCAAAAGAGCAGCAATTTTCATCTCTCTTCTAATTAACTTACTGGAATTGAAAAATTCAATATAACTTCACTTTTCATTTGTACAGAACGAAATATGTGTTTATGTTTCATGTTGCACTCAAAGTATGATTTGTGCTTTGCAGTTGTCTTATTGCAAGGAACTTACTTTCAGGCTTAAAGACTTGTATAGAGGTGTCCAATTACATGCGTGAAAGTGGAGCTATGATGCCTCATAGATCTGTTGCCCCAAGATCATTTCTAGAAGACAGTGGGAAGATTGATATAGAGTATGCGGTATGCATTATTATTTATGATATTTCAGGAAGGATTATACTACTGTATTCTCAAGTTTGCTTTTCTAAAGGACACCATGTGTCTCAACTATCTCAAGTTTCCTGTCTTTCTTGGAGTCTTGCCAACGATTTTTCAGGAAGAGATATGCTTCCCTTGACAAAGAAGGGTGGTAGAGAATCATGTTCATATATTTATCAGAATAGTAACATTAACTTCCAACATTATTTAGCAGTTTCTTTTAAATATATTTTCATACTTTACTGCTTTCAATTCTCCTCTCTCTGTCTTCTTACCTTCCAGTTCCATAGGGGACTATCACTATCCATTTTCTTTTCCTGTAGGTTTCTGACCTTTCATCCATACAAGTTGGTTCTGCATTATAAACCCATCCCTTTCTTACCGTTTGTTTCCTGTAGGAGCAAGATATGCCAACAAGATCACGTTTACTTCGTAGGAGGGGGAGAGCACGGAAACTTAAATATTCTTGGAAGTCTGCTGGTCATCCATCATTTTGGAAAAGAATTGCTGATTGCAAAAATCAGTCCTGTAAGCAGTATACACCTTGTGGATGCCAGTCAATGTGTGGAAAACAGTGCCCTTGTCTGCATGATGGAACTTGCTGTGAGAAATATTGCGGGTATGTTTTAAGTATCTTTCCATAAGTTTACTACTTACTACAGATGTTCATGCAACATGTATATCATGTAGAATAGTTTCTTGTGCACTTGTACTATACAGCATCTTTATGAGTAGTATTTGAATCAGGACAGCGTTTATTACCAGTCTACTTTAAATTCTTCAGGTGCTCGAAAATTTAAAAAAACCGCTTCAGGGGTTTCCACTGTCCAAAGAGCCAAGGCAGAAGTCGACAATGCCCATGTTTTGCTGCTGGACGCGAATGTGACCCGGATATTTGTAGGAATTGTTGGGTTAGGTGAAGAATTTTATATGCTCATACTTGATAAGCATTGTTTCTTTTGTAAATATCCATACCTATATTGCTTTTCTGTTCTTATATGAGTGTGCTTCTGTTAAACATTTGTCATCAAATTGTCAAGTTTCTCATGCCTACACAGCACCTTTCAGCAATAACGCAATCTCTGTGTCCTCAAAATTTTTTAGAATGATAGTTTATGCTGCCCGCACACCATACTATAAGACCTTAGTGTCCATCAGGAGTGGCAGATCGAACGCCATGTTGCCTCCAGAACAAAGTTTGATGAGATGCGCTTTTTTGTGGCCTGACCAGTACATGCCTTCTAAACTATAGGAACATTTACAGAGTGGTCTAAACAGCTGGTATGAAACTATTTGAAACCTTTCAAAGATTGTCACCCTAAGATGACTGGATATTAGGCCCATAGGCTGTCTCAAGTGATTAGATGGTTGGGCAGGGGTTGGGTAGGTCATCAGTTAAAAGATTAGCGCTGAAAAAGATGGTTCACAACTGAAGATTAGTGGTCTCGAAAATTGATCTCATTTTATCTAGTCGTAAGAATTTTGACTTCCTGGGCTTAAGTAGTGTTTTGTATCCTGAACCAGAGCCAAGCAAACAAACATTTGAACAATGCATCAGTCCAGGTCTTTATTTCAAAGTCTCCAGTTTTGGAGCTATCTGGTGACTTGTAGAATACTAGTGACGGTTGAGGGATTTTACATATCAAAAAAAGAAAGTAAAGCATTAGTTGTTTGACTAATTATGTCAGTCATGGAAACCTTTCTGTCCTGAGTTAGTATGCACTCTTATTCAGTATCATGGATCTGATTAGTTGAACTATGTGATCCATGAACTGGTTGCCTTTACAATTTGATCTCTGATTTGAGTTAATTAACGCTGGGCATCTATCGATGGCCATGATTGCTGACTTTTCATCCCATTAACTGCCACTTCCTTTAATTTTTGTTTATTTTTTCAAATTTGTTTTGTTTTTATGCAGCTGTGGAGATGGTTCATTAGGGGAGCCTCCAAAACGAGGAGACGGCCAATGTGGAAACATGAGGCTTCTTCTAAGGCAGCAGCAGAGGGTGAGTCATTCCAAAAAACTTACTGTTATTTGTACTAATATTATAGATATGTTCTGAAAGAAATTTTCTGTTTTCCCATTCTTTATGTTTCATTCTTCAGATCCTCCTGGCAAAATCTGATGTTTCTGGGTGGGGAGCCTTTTTAAAGGTATTACTGCCTGCATCTGTTTCCATGTTCTTCATTACCTGTGTACTAGTTCTGTGCAAGGAATTTGATGATGTGATTTCAGAAACCCGTCAACAAAAATGATTATCTTGGAGAATATACTGGCGAATTGATCTCTCATCGAGAAGCGGATAAGCGTGGGAAAATCTATGATCGTGCTAACTCATCATTTCTTTTTGACTTGAATGATCAGGCAAGTGATAGTTAATTATTACAAGTTAGATAATTCCATGTGTAAGAACATAATAATAAGGTCATCCTTTGAGATCAAATTCACCTCATGTTCAAAATGACTGCTCTTTGACAACTGAGCATTGGAGTGATGATATCTAACATGGAGGACTAAATTGGTTTAGAGTTTTGGAAGTTCAATGCAATTTGCAGCATCAATGTGTTGAGGATCTATTTTCAATGTGATTTTCTGAATCTGTTTTCATGGCCATCCTCGTGGATTAATGTGGCTTGCTATTTTTATTTTTATCAGTTTGTCCTTGATGCTTACCGGAAGGGGGATAAGCTGAAATTTGCGAACCATTCATCAAATCCTAATTGCTATGCAAAGGTATTCAAGTTTCTACATGTTAGTTTTTCATTCCTCCAAATTGACTGAGCTAATATGTTGAATTATTTAGGTAATGCTGGTAGTAGGAGACCATCGAGTAGGCATCTTTGCAAACGAGCGTATAGAAGCTAGCGAGGAGCTATTCTATGATTATCGTTATGGGCCAGACCAGACACCTGCATGGGCTCGAAAACCCGAAGGTTCCAAAAGAGATGATTCCACAGTTTCCCAAGGTAGAGCAAAGAAACACCAATCTCATTGATTGATTATTGGCATGGCTTGATGTTATGGAGCATGTTTCTGTAATTGTAGGGTGTATTTTACCAGTCACTTGTCATTAGCTATGCCTGGCATTTACTTGTACATATGCACACGCGTGCTTCCTGTGAATTTGACTTTTTCAATAAGACAGGCTAGCAAAGGTCAAACATTATTATAGATATTGAGATTGAAACTGATCTTTCAGTTTCCTGTAGAAGGCAACAATATAGGATGAAATATGCTGTTTTCCATTTATAATTGCCATGTTAAGAAGACAATATTCTTTTCCTGCTTTCTTTGTTTCTTTATTTTGAGATGGTTTAGCAATTGTTTTGACTTTAGCCTTAAGCTTCGAAGCATCTGTGTGCATTATTTGTGCGCGGTGCGTGCAGGCGTGTGTGAGAAGCTTGGTGATTCCAGAATGATGAATTTCTTTCAGTTTCCATTAAATTGAATCTCGAGCAAACACCTCAGCCTCCTTCGGAAAACAAAGAAAACGAGAATTTCCGTGTTTCTGAGACGCTACATGACCGCCAACAAGTTTAAGATGCAGAAAAAACTAAAAGAATGTACAAGCTAAGATGTAACCCCTCGTTTAGATAGCAGATGAAAATACAAAAATTCATTCCACGTATCTGGAACGCCAGGAATACACCAGTGGCTGCAATCTTGAATACTTGAGCGCTTACCAGCATATATGTATGGATGCTCGCCTATCCTAAATCCAGAGAAAATGGTTATATTTTGAAAGTTACTGGAGTTTTCATGTGCTCGATAATCTCTTCTACAACATAAGTCTTTTCACGGTAGCCCATACTTGAAGTTTCATTAAGAGGTTGAGTAGCTTCCTTGCAATGCCCCCCCGAATTCCATTGTCAGCCCCTGTTTGACGCATCAAAAATCACTCAACAATTTGATACGTGGAGTATAAAGCATTGATCATGACAGCACTAAACAAACCTGAAATGTGAAGGCGCCGAACTTCGAAAGAAAACTTTCAGTCTTTCTCGGATTAATGTGTCTAATCAACCCACGATGCCCAAGTCATCGGAGCTCTTCAGAAAGCTATAGACACATCAAGCAGGGGATGAGCCTGGTTACCTTCCTGGTAATAGCTGATCCTGTTTCAAGGTCAGCAGATGTTACAAACGACACAGTATAGACACAAAGAAGTAAAGATATTAACAAAAGTTAAATTGCGGGATTTCACTGTAGCCGTGCACACAAATTATAGCTCTACATAAATTATTATGGATTTCTACAGTAAAATTATTTTTTTACCTTTAAATAACTTAAATTTAAGCCTTTGATCTATGGGGGTAGGTATTTTTCTTTAGCTCAGCGGTCATTAAGAGATTATTTAGAAATATAAATGTTTTTTTTAATTTTAAACATAGTAAAAATATTCTTTTATTCCTAGAATTAACAAAATTTATAACTATTAATCAAGGGTTTTACAATATTTATAACAGTAAAAATATTTTTTTCCCTCTAAAATCTAAAAAAGATAAGCTATTAGACAAGGATATTTCAGGTTTTTCATGTACAATACAATGATATTTTTAAACTTAAAAAAAAAAGAAAAAAAAAAAAGGAAGTTTTGCCTTTGAAGATATTGTGATATTTTCATATACGTATTTTGTATAATTAAAATTATCATAAGATGTTTTCGTCATGCAAAAGGTACATGTAACATTATTTAGTTATCAAATCTGATTATTTATTGTATATAATTGTGCTTTTTTCTATATGATATGACGAATGTAAACTTACTGCTAATAATTATTATTTTTTCTAACTCAAATGCATAATTATCCTCATGTTTTACAGGATACTCATTCTATTGGTCTTGCCAAAGACAGGGTTATTTTCTTGGCTGAATTCAAGAAAGGATAATTCTCATAGTTTTTTAAACCTGTTAAATTTAAGTTTATCGGTATTCAACTGTACATTTATAGTCCTGCAAAACCAAACTCAGGAAACAGCTACAAATCCAACAGGAGGAGACACAAAGTAACCTGTTAGTATTGAAAGATCAGATCTTTACCACAAACTTGAAGCTATAATTCCCTTTACCACATACTCTCAATTAAAATCAACAAGTCCCTGGTTTTTCAAAATAAAAGGAAAGAAAGATTCTCAACCTCATGTAATCTTTATCCAATCTCCCATTACCAACACAATCAAACCCATCATTTGACATTAAGGGTAATTGTTTTTGTGTTTTAAAGATATTTTTAAAAAATATTTTTTTAATATTTTTTATTTTAAATTAATATTTTTAAATCATTTTGATATGTTGATGTAAGAAATAATTTTTAAAAAATAAAAAATATTATTTTAATATAATTTTAAATAAAAAATACTTTAAAAAATAATTATGACTTCATTCTCAAATATTATCCTGAAATAATTAGGGGGAAAAACTCCTCCAAATTATGTTAAATTGCGTAGAGATTTGATATTAAGTATCAACTGTACATTTGCTCGTTCTTACTTTTATTTGTTTTAATCCAAAAGGTTTAGAAATTAGACAAACATGAAAAAAAATATATAAATTAATAAATTTAAAGTGTTTAGGTGCTTTAATGGCTCAATCATCCAACATATCAAAATTTTTATTTTTTTATTATTAATATGGATATTCAAACTAGTTTATATATCTTTTAATTAATTTTATAGATTTTAAAATTAACAATCATATAAATATTTAATGAATTTAAGATTTATAAATATTAAATTAATAATTTTTAAGAAACAAATTTAAAAAATGATCGATTAAACTACACTATCAAGATTTATCTAACTTTTTTTGTTTTTGTGTGTGGTGGGGTAGATAAACTAACATATAACTTTTCAAAAAAAAAAAAGTAGTTCTCATATTAGGTATCTCTATTTTTTTTTTTAATTCTCCTTTGTCGCTCTCCTAGGAGAATAACTTGAATAATAAATAAAATAATATATTTTTATTTTTAAGTTTTAAAAATATTTTACAAAAATAATAATTTTTTTCTTTAAATTAATATTTTTTAATATAAAATTATTATTTTAATATATTTTTAAATAAAATATATTTTAACAAATAACCATAACCAATACCCCCACCTACCCTCACGTCTCAGCTCCCTGTCCCTTTTTGTTTTGAACAGCTCAACCATGTTACTGGACTGGTTGACTTTGCTTGATATGCAAGAGAAGAGTTGCACGCGAGAAGTTAGTCAAATATATTTTTAAATTTTATTTTTATTTTTTAAATTATTTTAATATACATGTTAAAAATATTTAAAAAAAAAACATATTATTCTAATATATTTCAAAAAAACGAATACCTCTAACAGTGTACCGTCTGGAACCAGGAAAAATCAAGA